CTCCAGCTGCAGCACCATGCTGACGCACTTTATTGCTTCTTCTGGCACAAACTTGTTCTTCAGTGTACTGCACTGCAGGGTATGCATAATTTTATGCTTACATGCCTCAGAAAATTCCCCTTCAGTATATAATCTCTGAGAGACCTTAATGGTATTGACAAGATCAAGAAAGTCTCCTCTTCAATCTCTATAGTTTTATTTTCAGTAAGTATAGCATACAGATACATTTGCAATGCACAGAAGTACTGTAAAAACAACACTTTTTTTTTATTAGGAAGTGTACAGTCAATTTTAGTTTAGTCTCAGTGAAAGCAGTGCATTAAGGTAACTGGGGTCTTTTTGGTGGAAGAGAAGAATCTCAGCCTCCATGTTACAGACTGAACACTGCTGATGTTTAAACTGGAGAGAGATTGGGAAAGCTCTGTTACAGACAGTGAAAATGTTCCAATATCAATGGAGGAAAGAATTTTGCTAAGATTACAGTAATGAAGAACTGTAGTCTGCATTTTTTTAAATGAGGATAGCTGTGGAGGTTTGGAAGATTTCCATACTACCAAAAATGGCAGCCAAAATTGTTCAAGGGAAACCATTTGTACAGATGACTGATGGCAATTGTTATGTGGATCATCCAGTATTGGAAATTTATGCTGTCATCTTTCAGTATTAGGTACTTCCAAAATGAGAATGTTTCTTTGTATTATTTCAAATTGCTCAGCCAGTACCCATTGTATAAAAATGTTTCAGAAGTCCCATGTTTTGCTGGAAGCTGAATCTACCCTTTTTATCAGAGTTTCGAAACTAAAATAGTCAAGGAATTGAAAAGTATTCCATCTTGTTTGGTGTCAAGCAAAAACTTTATATCAGATAAGTAAAGTACATTTACATTGAGACAAATATCATGACTTGTATTACATCTTGGTGGGGAGGAGGAGAGAAAGATTAGCCAGAAGCCAAAAGCAAATAACTTTCAACCTAACCCACTAAAATTGTGATGTGTTTTCAGGAGAGTTTGGCCAGGCTACAGCGAGCATTTGCTCGGAAATGGGAGTTTATTTTTATGCAAGCTGAAGCACAAGCAAAGTAAGTTCCTTTGGAGATGAGGGGTTTTTGTTTTGCATGATTTTTGAAGGGAGAAGGGAGGGAAAAGTGATGGGATGCTTCATATGTTTAAAATTGCTGTCATCAACACTGTTTCTTTCAAATATCCTATAACATTGACAGGGTTGACAAGAAGAGAGACAAGATAGAGAGGAAGATTCTTGACAGCCAGGAGCGAGCATTCTGGGATGTGCACCGTCCGGTGGTGAGTGCTGGTGGGGCTCCTGGGGCTCTGAGCAGGGCCACTGATGAAGGTCAGCCTCTGTGAAGCATTGAGGTAGCGTGGGAACATGTAGGAGAGCAGTAGGGCCAGAGGCTGGGACTTGCCTCCTTGTTTTCAGGATCTAAAATTTGTATGATTCTGCTATTGTAGACTGCAGACGTGTGTGCATCCAGTTTGGGTGTTCTAGTGAATGGATTTGTTGTGTCTGATTTCTTGAATCAGAAGGTACTCGTCTTTATTATCACCTCAAAGGTTTCCCAGGATATGAGTCACACAACCAAAATTATCAGCGTAACTAAAAATACCTTCAAATAAATCTGACTTTTTTTTTTAATTTATTCTGCTTTTTTGCTTGTTAAGCCTTTCAACTTCACTCTGGTCATGTTTCCAAGCTATTTTTAATGCTCATAAAGGTTAGATATTGCTGGCTTTGAGCTGTGGGAGTCACACATTGTCTAAACAAGATTTATCTGAGTTCCTTGTCAAATTCCATCTGAAACAAAATTTAAAAAAAAGAAAGGTTCTTATATAGTCAACTACTTTTAAGAACTAAAACTTTGAGAAAGAATGTCAATTGTCACAATAATTCCACTTAAACTGTAAGAACTCAATAACAACATTATTTTTCTTTAGTACGGAATAATATCTGTTTCCCTTACATGGAGTTAAGCTTTCATTTTTTTGTACAGGGTTTGGTATCACTACAAATGAAATCTAATATAGACTATATCTTCCACTCTGACACTAGGAAAAGCTACTTTTACTGGGAGAAATAAAATTAGGTGATAATACCTGTGGAAGAGTTGAATGGAATGAGAAAGTTTAAATAAAAAATAATAAACTTTAACATGGCCAGCTTATATTTGTCACCATGGAACTGAAGCAGTGGTAGGAAAAATGGATTTTTAGGCAGGATTTAGAGTGTCAGGTAGACAAAACCATTTGAAGTGAAGGATTCAAACTACAGGCAATAGGTGCAAGAAGACTGGGACATTACTGCCTAATCACTGACAAAAAATAAGGGAGGAGAACAGAAAGCAGTCTGCCATCTGATGTTGATTGGGGCTACATGTGGAATAGACACAAACTTTCTATGGGGATCTGAGACATTTCAAGGTGCAGAGAGCTTTTACATTTTATATGTAGAAATGGATCTAAAGGTTTTGAATCTGGGAATGAGATGTTGTTTTCAGATTTGGAAGAGATGAATTGTTGAAGCTTCAAGAGAGTTAAAGGAACCAGGACAAGAGGAAATTGAATCTGATTAAGAGCTTTGGCTGAACTGTGGATAAATCTGCCTGGTCCAGCAGATGTTTTTAATCTGGCTGTAAACATACCTAGGAAGTATCAGAGGCAAAAGACTGGCTTACAGTCACCAGTGTAGGATCCTGGCTTTAGGAGATATAAATAGAAAAACAGAGAGGTTAGTACTTTGCCTAACCTGCTCCTCTCAGGAGTCATTGAAATAATATTTTTGAAAACACTGTTATGAGTTTGCTGTCACAGTAAAAGCCATAAGATTCTATTAAAAAGAAAAAAAGATAAAACATGAAGAGACTGAAAAGAGGAAGGTGATGCTAGAGCCAATTAGAATTTGTAATGACTTTTCAAGCTCCCCAAAAGCCCTTCAAAAACTCCCAGAAATGCTACTGCAACTCTAGAAAGCTAATATTTTTAAGATTAGGTAATGTTTGGATGACAATCTGGGATTAGTGTTTATTTTTATTTACCATTTTTCACCTTTTGACAAAAATTCAGAGGTAAGGGGCAGTGGCAACACAGTTAAAAATCCACCCCGATTCAATTTTATTTTAATGAAAATTAATTTTAAGGACCAAATGTTTCATTATTTGCTTTTTTTTTTTGTTTTGTTCTGGATTTTTGTTGTTTCGTTTTGTTTTAAGTGAGTAAATAAATATTCTTTCCTGATTTTCCTGCAGGTATCCTGGTCTATAGTTGTTTTGTTTCTTGCCTACCTTGCTACAGTACTGATTCACAACCTTTACATGTAAAATATAATCTATGAGTATTACATTTGCATTGTATTTAAAAAGGGAGATACTTTAAGTTGATGAAAGGTACAGAAGAGGGAAGAAAACCATCATTCCTAAAGGACAGTGCAAGCAGTGCACTGCAGGAATGGAAGACAAGAGAACAGCTGTATGTATGACTGTGACTGATAAGTTTAAAATAAGTGAAATGAACCAAAGTTTGATGTGTAAAGAGCATTTGTCTCAAAAACCAGCTGTATTTCATAGTTCCCAAGTCAAAGTCAATGCTCTAGGTGATTGCAGAGGTCCTAGAAGATTTATGCCATAGTCTGAGAGACAGACAAATGCTTGAAAGTCATTATGGCTGTTACATTCTATCAGCTAGCTGGCTAGTGCCCATATTTTTTTCCTAGGTTTTAAGACTGAGGTGATGCTTGGAGATGAACCAGAGAAACTGGATTTGGAAAGGAATTTTATTCAAATAGTCATCTGTTCCTCAATTTTCTTCTGAGAGACAGTTAAGAGAACAGCTTTGTTATCTCACTGTTTAGTTTCCATTCCAATATTTATTTAATTGCAGTTGTTCGGTTTAGGGTTTTTTGTTGTTGTTGGGGGGGGGGGTTTGGTGTTTTGTTTTGTTTTTTTTTTTCCTTGGGATGGATTATGCATGTGTGGAGTGTAGTCTTCACCATTTCTGTAGCCTTATGTAGAAAGATCACAGCTTGCAGTTAGAAAGAGCATGACAGAACTTCAACTGTAGGTACTGCAGCACACAGAGACATTCCTGAACAAGTTTTAAATCTTACTAATTCAGATACCAATCATAGCAAAACCATGGAAATTTGTGTCAGGGAGAGCTGTACAAACTCCTTTGTGATCTTGAGCAGCAGACCTAGGATAAACTCCATGCTATTATTTCTAAGGTAGAGTCATTACCTAACATATGTCTGAGATTAATATTATTCATCCAGAGTGATGTATTTCTCTTTTCGATGGAAGAGTAAATCTATCTGAAAAGTGTTTATCTTCTTTCCACCTGCCTAGAATGTGTATTATTTTCATAGTTTTGAAACTTCTGTCTTAACAGACTGTGGAAATAAACAAAATTTGGTTAGGAGAATTAGGGATTTAGTAAAAAAACAGTAACAAAACAAGCTAAATTGGAGGAGTGAGCTCCTTCCAGGAGAAAGAAATTGAGAAGCTGCTTTTGTTCAAAAAGAAGTGTTGTACTCCTGATTAAGTCTTTATAAGAGAACTTATAGCTTTGCTGAATTATTATCTCTTTTTAAACCCCATAATCTTATACTCATTAAAAAGGGACAAACAGGTACTAAAACAGTAAATCCCTTGAAACATTCTCAAACCCACATGAAATACGTTTGGAGCAGAGTAGCTGCGGCTTGAAGTAAATTTCATTCTTTTCATTAACAAACAAGACAGCTGATGTCTTGCTGCTACAAATGATTCACTTTTATTCCTGAGTTATACATTCATACAATAAAAAAGGCCTTTTGGGTACTTTTTTGATATTCAGATTAATTCAGAAGGTAGTGGGGGAAGTATCCTTATCTCCTGAAAGTCATCTGTATACTTCATAATCGTAAGTTGAAAAAAAACTTCTCATTTTCTCCAGTGCCTCTGACCTTTGTTATCAGTCAGAAGATTGGTTGTATTGCAGTCACATTTAGCAGGTTTGTGTGCAGTTGTTTTAAAAGGAAGATGAGAAATATATAACAGATCATAGAATCAGATGGGTTGGAAAGGACCTCTGAGATCATCAAGTGCAACCCTTGATCCACTACCACCACAGTTACTAGACCATGGCACTGAGTGCCATATCCAGTCTCTTCTTAAATACCTACAGGGATAGAGATGTGCTAGAAAAGTGCACTGGTGTGTGTTCCTCTCCAAAGTTTAAACACTGGCTCTGGTTTAGTTAAATTGTGGTTTAATAATGTGTGAAGATCAGTCAAGATGTGATCCAGTTCTTCCACTCTGCCATTTGTAGCTTCCCAATCCACAGGACTTGTATTCCCATTGTTACCATGGGTTTGCTGAATGATGGTGATTATTTTGTTTTGTGAAAAGAATGGATAGCAAATATTGATAAGGCTTAGACTCTGTCTTAAAGGTCTTTTCCAACCTAAATGATTCTATGAATCTATGAAAAACAAAAGCAATATTTGTGTTATTTAATAGAGGAAGACAAAGTATTTAGGGTGTGTATATGTGGTAAGGACACCAGCAATGTTCAGTGCAAGGGTGGGTTTAAGATAATTCACTGATGAAGTAAAATTCAGAAATATGTATGTTTTCTGGATTTGGGTGCTTCTTGCCATTGTTTCTTAGCACTAAACTAGGAAAACATTGTTTTTCAAATATTTTAAACTTTGTCACAGATCCAACAGTTTTTGCTTCTTCTTTTTATGAGATTCTATCTCCATTAATTTATTTTTTCTGTTCATAATTTTAAGTTGTATTTTATTTGGTCTGAACATGACCCTTAGCATCTGAGCCAGTAAGTAATATCATCAGGTGTCCAGGGTCAGGCAGTGGATGCTTTTTTTTTTTTAATGATTTTTCCAACCTCTTCTTCAAAGCCTCGGAAACTCAACAAAACACTGAATTTAATTTGATTAAGGTGGTGCACTCCTGCATTTCACACTCTATGTGCTAGACTTTACTGGAGCAGTCATTAGTATAGCTGGAGAACACTTATCTCTGCTTTATCATAATATTTTCTGAAATTTTTTAAACATCTTCGGGAAGGAAATGTGAATTGTGCCATCCAACTTCTCCAGAGATATATCCACATACAATTTTCACATCTTCTTTTCCACCTGTTTCACCATATATCCTTTCAAGGGAGTTCCCTCTCCAGCAGACAGGGAATGCAGCCAAAACAGCAATTGTCACTCTCAGATAATTGCACTTCTGGTAATGAAAAAAAGCCTTGTACAATGTTTTAATTTCAGAACATGGTTAGAATGT